CCGTGGGCACCGGGCCCGTCAGCGCGCTCTGCCAGATGCGGCTGCCAGCCCAGCCTCCGAGCAGGAAGTGTGTTGGTGATTCTGACAATGAGAGGAAAGGGAAGCCGGGCGGTGGGAACGGGCTGAGGATGCAGGGCTGCAGGGCGGGGCTCAGGGGGCCTCGGGCCGGGCACCGGCTCCCCCAGGCGTGAACATTCATGTCCAGCAGGGATGCAGGCTCTTCTCCTTCCCCAACTTGTCACCACAAGTCTAATTCCAGGGGCCCTCCGCTGGGCAGCACTTCCTCATCCCAGGCACACCCTCACTGCCTCCTCGGGGCTCATTCCATCTCTTATTATAGGACGAGCAGTCTACCAGGTAGACATGACCTTCCCCCAACTAGGCTACAGGCCTGAGGGCAAGGCAGGCCGTTCTCCACACTCACCCACCAACTGAGGCCCACTGCGCTCCTCGTGGGGCAGAGGCGCCCGTGGGTGACAGAGGTGCCCATGGGGCAGAGGCGCCCGGGGGGGACAGAGGTGCCTGTGGGGACAGAGGTGCCTGGAGGGCAGAGGCACCCGGGGGACAGAGGCGGCCGGGGGACAGAGACAGCCAGCCGGGGGACAGGGGCGGCAGTCCGTGATGCCTCGATGGGACACGCGCTGTCCGGGGAGGCCTGGCAGAAGGATGATGAACTTCAGCTGCTTTCTTGCCCGGGTCAGGCAGCAGCACTTCCCAGCAAAACGCAATTAGACAAAATCCCAGGTTGTTTTTCTTCAAAACCATGTTGCTTGCATTCCTCTCATTAAAGAACAGCACGTGACGTTCCCGGGAGCCTGTGTGGGTTACGGGGTTCCCGCCAGGCGTTGTGCAACGCGTGCGTGTTTACAGGATCCGAAGGGAGGTCGGGGCGCAGGCCCCAGGGTCGGCCAGCGTCTCACTTTAAGTCGCAACCCGATGGCAGTTCTGTGGTTTAGGCGTCAACCAGACTGGGGCAGCGTGTGGGGCACACAATTGGGAGGAGAGAGCGCCCCCCC